CTGCTGCTGCTACTGCTGCTGCTACTCCTACTGCTACTGCTACTGCTACTGCTACTGCTGCTGCTGCTACTACTACTCCTGTTGCTGCTGCTCCTGCTGCTGCTGCTGCTACTACTACTACCACCACCACCACCGCTGCTAGTGCTTGTGCTACTGCTACTGCTACTGCTACGACCGATACTATCACCGCTGAACGGGGATCTTGATTGATGTGGTATAGCAAAGGTGAGCCTAGCGACGAGCGAAGCTGTGCAGCGAAGCAAGCCTTTCCTCCTGGGAAGGATCCCACCTACGAGAAACCGGACGGCGCGGACGTGGTTGTGGGAATGTTCGGGCTTGCATTCCATACATGCATAGGCATGCCTGAGCACTCCCGAGGCTCAGGCTGTGAAACACTAGACCTACGAGCATTCATTCCAGATCCTTCAACCTTTTCGGGATACAAGTTTCGTAATTTATTTATGGTTGTCCTCAGGGCATTTTCCCCTTGATTCCTTGATGGCACGTACTCTTGCTACCACACTGCTCCTCCTGCTACCCCACTTTTGCCCTTGCTGCCACTACCGTTGTTTTTAGCCTTGATTTTTGAACGTTTCTCGTGCAAAGGTGTGGGGGTCTGGTGGGTAGTCCGCACATGGCATGTCCACATGCAGTGGCGGAGGCCTGTACTGTGGCATACTAATGGTGAACGCATTCGGGCTCGTGGCTCCTATCAGGTACATTCTTGAGGACAATGATTGCTTCGACTGCTCTTGCTTCTGTTTTTTTTAATTGTTTAGATGCAGGGCAGGGCGTTCAGGGTGTTCTTATCATTTGACGTCCCAGGTACCTTGGACCCCATGACGATGGGAGTGCCCAGATCCTGGGCCGAGCCTGGCACCCCAGAGGTTAGCCTTGGCATGAGGGGATCGTGCACGTTTGAAGGCTTGCGCCTGCCTACGGCTGTGTAAAGCATTCCTTTCTGGGTGCGGTAGCGAGTTGAGAGGATTCTGCTGGTGTGGACACGTACTTGGTTTAGAGGCTTGGTTCTGCAGAAACGGATGGGATGCATGTCGCACACTGTTCAGCTGCTGCATGCTGGTAGGCATGCTCATGAGATCAGGCTGCTGGAAGATGTCAGCCACTGTCAGCTCCCGACAGACATTCATTGACTGGAGGCAGAACCTCACCTTCCGATGAAATTTGCGTGCGGGCGGACACCACACGTACAGATTGAGAAGGTGTGTGGTGGACAAGAACGCTCTTTGTACCATGTTTCGTGTGCCAAAGCAACCATTTATATACGGAAGTGGTTCTTCCTTTTCGTTTCTGGGGGTGCGCAGGCTTCGCGAAACGGGATCATCCGAAGGGTGTGATTCCATCTTTGGTGTGACTTTGGCTGAATCCCGTCGCGTTGGGCTCGAACAGATGAATCCGGCCTTGGGCAAGTGCGGCTGGCCGGTGGGGCCACTTGGCGTCCAGTGGAGCACAGGGGAGCACCCCTTTGTGCATTCTACAGGGTGGGGAACTGGCGGCGACTAGCGGCTTATCGGTTTCCACACCACTCTGTGCCGCAGCACTCGTCGTAGACCCTGAGCCCTAATCCGAGTTAGAGACGATGTGGTATGTAGCAGTGGCACAGCTATGGTGGTCAAGTGTGTTGCTGTCTTGTTTTTGACAGTTAGTAACATGTCATGTAACATGTGCTACCCATTGTCATGTGCTTGCCAAAGAAATCCAAGGAACCACGTTGTTATGCTAACTGTTGTTTGTTACATGTGCGTCCCCCCGGCCCCCGTTCCTGCTGCGCCTGTCTTCGGATGGACAATCTGATGGCAAAAACACATGTAGGTTTTTAACAGTCTTTTTTTCGTTGAGTTTGGCTCCAGAGAGGATCTTCATGCATGAGCTGGATGTTGTGTATCGTTGTTCGTACTGTGGGGCGAAAGCATGGCCATGCTCCAAAGTACGTTTCGAAGAGGAGGAAGCGCGCCTCGCTGTGGCAATTGCAGCAAGCCGATATCCGAACATGTCCGAACTACAGTTCCGAAGCAAGTGAGGCCCCTCCCATCGTTAAATGCTTCGCTCGGCATCCTTTTCCCGTGCCCCGTTGAGACCTCCAAATGCATTTGCTGCAAATTGTCCCTTTTTGCGTGAGCCAAGGCTTTACGTCCGGCCATGTTCAACACGGATTGCTGCTGCAAAGCCGAGGGCAACGAAGTGGTAGAGGTCGTCTGGAGCGAGAACCCAAAGTTCTTTCGAGGGACAGACAGGAGCTCCTACACACCGCTCTTCGGTGCCGTTCTCGGCAATAATTTGGACGAAAACCCTGTCTCACGGACTGCCCCGTCCGAATCGACGGCGCCCGTGGCCCCTTTACATCGGATACAGGCGAGAAGCGAACCCTCGACGAAGCAGCGGGGCCCGCCTGTGCCCGTGTTTGAGGAGGAGGAGGCAGAGGCAGCGCTTCAACCTCCAGAGCTTTCACGGCCTGAAACCCCTGTTGCTGCGTGGTCATACCATGACAGTCCGAAAGACGATGCTTGACTTTCAAGCATGCTTTTTAGCAGAACCACCGGTTAGTGTGACAGCGCCATCATACAGTATCCCTGGGCAAATCCTGGGGCTTGCAGACAAAGGCCACGCCAGAGTCGCCAGAGTTGCCAGCGAACTTTAGCACGGCCTCGCGGGCTGATACAACGGAGCGGCATGAGATGCCGCAGGAGAATGGGCATGGTTCAAGAGGATTCAGGGCTTGCTTCGGCGAGATGTCGCAACCAGCATTCCAGGCACCGACAGCCATGCTGAAGGGGGTTCGAGGTCGAAGTCAACTTACGGAACAGCTCGGAGGCATACTTTTGCATGGCGAAGTGTCGTCCTTTGTATCATGAGTTTCGGCACATCGGCATTCAGACTTTTTGAGGCTTGGCAAAGCGGAAGGCCTCACATGCTAGTAAAAATGTGGAGCTCGCTTGTGTGCCCGCTGGCGTCAAAGGTGTTTCAATAGGTTTAGTATGCAGGGAGACACAAGCTACAGCGCAGCGTGAGCCTAGCCAAGACTTGGGACAGGCCAGGGCAAAGTGCCGTTAAGTTGAGCAGTACGCATGTTAAATCAAGGCCGCAACGACCATGGAGCTGTCTTGCGCAAGGAGGGGACTTTTCTGGTCAACCTTCAAAAGCTTGATGGTGACGACATCGGCTTAGAGTTCGACACTATGGACTCGAAGGTCTTGCTCGTCAGCAACTTGGTGGAGACAGATTTTATCAGATCCTATGTGCTCAAACCCCGAAACTTCACGAAACCTGTCGATTCCCCGAGCCAAACACCGCCTCGGACGGCAAAGCCGATTCAGTGTCTCTCCATGCTCTGGGCCAAGGCCAAGTACGTAGAAGTGGCCTCGCCACTCGCTGGAATGCCACAGCTTCGGAGGAGTCGCAGATTCGGTGTCTGGGCATGCATCTACTGTAGGGTCGTAATGGTATCCCCTGCATCCCCTAGTCGTCCCTTTATACTCATATCATCATACTGTAGTTGTATACCTCAAAACCCTGTTCTACTTGTTCTTATCCCTAACATGACTGGGAGCTCTGGGGCTTCGCTTTCTATTGCAAGTGGGACCAGATAGGCTTGTTGGATGCAGTGGTGGGTGGCCAAAGTCGTGGTCTCGCAAGAGGAAGAGAGGTGCCGCCGAGCTCCTTGTGTCCCTAATCTCCGCATGCGACGTTGGTTGCCTTCGGAGAATCGTTGCTCACAGAAGGCGCTCTGACACCCGAGTAGGTGCACAGCACTTTCGAGACCATTAGGGCCGCTTGCAGTCGCAGCGCGCAGTCGATCTCGGTAGTCTGCAATCAAGCACACATGCTGTAAGGTGGCAGGGCTGGGGGGCCCCACTGGGGGGCGCAGTTTGTGAGAAGTTTACTTGATGGCTTTCACCACACTGGTCCATAATTGAAGTCAGGCAGTTTGATCGGCTGCTGGAAGTCAATGGCTGCGGCCTCCTTCCATCGGCGGACCTTGTGGACATGTTGCAGGCCATGCGGGTTTTTAAGCTGTAGACTACGGACAGCTTCCAAGCTCTTGTGACTGGCAGGGGCGATACTTCAAAGATCTTCAGTGCTAGTCTTCAGTGGTTTCTCGTGGCTCTGGATTCGTTTTCGTGCGGAAGGTTTTGGGCGTTATCCCTTCCGTCATCCCACTGACACAGCCGGGGTGGTGGGCCATCGCCCCCTGAAATTTTGCTGGAAAGCCTCGTAAATGTAAGCCTTGTAGTAATTAGCAGCGGCACTTGTTGTCACCCTTACAGCGGGCCCTAGTTACCCTAGTAACCCGTATGATAGAAGCCCTTATAGTACCCCTAGAGTGCCTCGGAGTCCAGGCCTGGAGGTTGAAGGTCGCCGTACCGTAGGAGGAACTCCTCATCCATGTCCTTTTCTCACGGACGAGACCCCCTACTGTAGCAACCCACGGCGCACTCCACTGTTTTCAAAGACTGGGCCGTAGGCACAGCGGGTTCTGCATCCGCTACGGGCACATGTCGAAGAACACACTGGCTCAGCTCAGGAATGCGATGTCAACATCCAGCTGCGATTTGAGCATCCAGACGTGGCTTGTCTCTATTCCTTTATGTACTAGCTCGGTAAGACGGCCCTGCGCTATACTGATCGGCAAGCCGTCAAGAGATAGCGACTCACACTGGGCCCGAGTATTGTGACGAGACTACGTGTGCATAAACTGTCGCTACAGGACTTCATTGCTTCAAGTGGTGTCCGGTGTGGTTGTTAGATGCACTTTACATTGCTGACGCTGGAAAGTAGTATTGCATAGTAGTATTGCGTGATGGTGGCCAAACCCCTCCACCAAGGTCAGAGAATTTAGCATCACCCCTGACGGCCGTAAGCTTGGCCTTGGGCTTGAGATGAGCAAGATGACACCTAGCTCCCTGGCTTCCGGCGCGGTCCTTTAGTCGTCGTCGTAGTCTCACGGATTTCTCACCGGGGCTCTTTCAGGATTTTCTCTTCGACGGGTTTCCTGTGGCACGGAGCCTCCCAACTTGCACACCACCTGTGCGAAATGTCTAATCCTCAACAGGATACAGCGTTCGCGAACGAGGGTGAGAGGCCCTAAACCCTAAACCCTACAGTAGCAAGCGCGGACCTTCATCAGCCATGCCAGCCTTGTGCGAGTGTGTGAGTCGAAACCCTATCAGGAGCCGTGCATGCCTTGTGCGAGAGTGAAAGTCGAGAAACCCTAAACCCCCCACGCAACAAAGAGAGAGGCAGAGGCAGAGAGGCCGAAAACGAAGTACTGCCGGAGTGCAGCTTGCGCGGAGAGGCGGAAACTCCCAGATCCCGCCTTGTCAAACGGCGTGCAGCGTAGTTGTACTAATTAGTTTGCTGCATGCAGCTTGACGGCCTCCGGCAAGCGGTCGAACCACGAAATGTTGCAACTGAAACGGTCCACCATGATTATCACGTTCCGGGCGGGTCGTAGTTGCGTGTAGGATGCTGAAGACAACCAGAAGACCTGGGGGCTGATACCATTGGGGTAGCTCTCTAACTTAGGGTCCCGTTTTAGGTCTTCAAAGTTGTACGGCACCATAATAAATAGGGACCCGAAAAGGGACCCTAATTCACCGAACTACCCATTGGTCTGCTCTTCGTTCAGCCATGTTCGGCCACACAACAGGTGGGTTCGCCTTGGAAGCCGGGGCTTCAGTTTAGGGTTTACAGTAGGGTTTGGTATAGGGTTTAGAGAGAGGAAGAGAGACAGAGAGGGAGTAAGGTCCGATGTCCGGAAGGGTAGAAGTGTAACTTGCCAGCCGATCACTGGAAGTGAACCTGCTGTTTGCTTCGGGATGATACTGAGGTTTGCGAGTCAGGAAGTTGGACCCGGCAGGTGCGGTACATCTGAAGCTTTGACGGATTGGGTCATAAACTTTTTATTGTGATGCAGATGATGCGGGTGATGTTACAATTGGTGCCGAGTGAACTGTTCCACCATCACCTGATTGGGGATGGCGATGGAAGGTCCTTTTGACGGTGTGATAGCCCTGGCAGATTAGAGACGCTCAAGACAAGAGTGGAACCCACGATGCACACAGTGCAAATGACAAGCTATGCATCTGTTCTTTTGGTTCTGTCTCATTGGGTCACGTGCATGCTCGTCGAGCGCATCGACAATGACGGCCACTCCCATTGATCATGATAAGAATTATTCGGCTACTGCGGCGGAGCCCTTCTCTTCTCTCGCGGTTCCTGGCATTCAACTTGTTCTTGTCGCTCTGCCTCTCTCTCCTTGCTGTGCCTGATGCTACAAGGTAAGTAGGCCTGCCGGTGTATGGGCGACCGCAGCTGAGGAGATGTTCAGAGGACAATGCACCGCACATGAAGCCCCATGACAGGCAGGTGCGAGGGCTTTAGCGGCCACAGAGTGCATGTTTTTCTCGTAGACATGTAGCTGCCAGCTGAGACTGCCTGTGCAGGATAGTCCAGGTGAATGAGGAGAGTGACAACGTGGCGCGAATGGCTAAACAAATGGTGAGCCGTGAGGTCAGCTTCAAAATTTACCGGTATACACTGGAGACGGAGAGCTCCGTGATACAAGCAATCTGATGCACTGATGCCCGAGTTTAGGATCCCAGTTTCGTGCTCACAGCATGGGTGGCCAGGCAGCACAGGCTGTAGTAGTAGTAGTAGTAGTAGTAGTAGTAGTAGTAGTAGTGGTAGTAGCAGCAGCAGCAGCAGCAGCAGTAGTAGTAATAATAATAGTGGTGGTAGAAAGTCGTCGTCGTTGAAGCAGTAGCATTAGCAGAAGCAGTAGCATAACAGTAGGAGTAGCAGTGGTAGTAGCGTAGTAGTAGTAGTAGTAGTAGTAGTAGTAGTAATAGTAGTAGTAGTAGTAGTAGTAGTAGCAGCTGCAGCGGCAGGAGCAAAAGAAGTGGTGGCGGTGGTCCTCGCCGTAGTAGTAGTAGTAGTAGTAGTAGTAGTAGCAGCAGCTGCAGTAGTAGTAGTAGCAGCAGCTGCAGTAGTAGTAGTAGTAGTAGCAGTAGTAGTAGTAGTAGTAGCAGCA